CCAGAATGCAGTTTGGTTATCAGCTTCAATCTCCTCTCCAACTCCTTCATCTACGAGGTAACAAATTTAAAAACTTACAACCTTCCCATCCTACATTTTCTTTACGATCCATTAAAATTTCAATGGTTTTCTTTCTAGGATGAAATCTCCAAATTCTATACAAACCACACGTATTCTCTCTACGTTTTAAATACATTTTGTGAAAATTGTGCTCCGATTTCGACAGGCTTAACGAAGGGGTTACACTGCTTCGCATTTCATCACCTTAATCCTATCCAGCGTGTACCACCCATGCCCTTATTTTCTACACTGGTAATAATACGAACTACAATCATTTAGATTTGTAAATACAGGACAATTAAGCTCAGCACATCGTAAATACACGGCTGACGATGTAGGATCTTTAGCTTGTAACTCTTCGATCGGTGTATTATGAATAGGACACGGATACGTGATGGGTGCTTCGTCAAGAACATTACGCAAAAAAGCATCGAAGGTGAAATTACCTTCACTGCTGTCTACAATTTTTCCTGACTCTGGTTGTTCTTGTAACTCTACGGTTTCAATTTCCACAATTTCTGTGTCTTCTGGTTTACGCTCGTGTTGAGGTTCCACGACTTTGGGTGAATCTTCCTAAGGTTCATCGGGAACTAGCTTAGGTGCTGTAGGATTGAGTGGTTTTTTGACTGGTAATATCATTTTGGGTGGTTCTTTGACTGGTAAATCCGGTAGATAAATGGATTTCTTCAATTTCTCTACGGCTGCTTTCTTGTTTTCTTTCTTCTTATTCGAATAAGGATGCGCGCGATCTTTCTGCATTCTCCTAGGTGACTTTCCACCGCTGCTCGTGCTGACCAAATTGCAGCTGCTTTTAGGAGTCTCCATCTCATCTGCTGCTACACTCACTATGCACTCACAGTCACTGATGTAACTGCTTTTACAGCTACCCAAGTCACGTCCCACCAATCAAAGTGTCTCTAGAGAGACTGACCACACCTTTCATTCTTTTCATCCTTTAATCCTTTAATCCTTTAATTGCATCGCGTACGTGCTACTCATTACAATTCATCTCATGTTCCACGACTTAAGCACATCCATCTATCCCTTATTTATCAGCCAAAGTCATGCGAATCAAATGCTCCCGAAAGGGTTCCAACAGTGCCGGGGGTGGTGTCTTGGTTGTCTTGGGTGTTTTTGTAGGTGCTAGTCGAACTCGTTGTTCTTCTTCTTCTTTTTCTTGATACACACATTCGCGTTCACATTCTTGCACGTAGGCTAATAATTTAAACATGAGTTCCACGTATCTCTTATCCAAAGTCGATGAATCTTCGATTAGATCCATCATACGAATGCAATCTTTTACGTGTCTTGTAATTCTTCTCAGATCGTCAGAGTCTGCATTTTCACGTACTATGTACAGCAATTCATCTAACGCCATCCCTGCCAAATGAGGATTGTGCTCTACATACGAGTTCACGGTTGCTGCTAAAAAAAATGGGTCGCGCGCGTGTAATTCACT